ATTGGAGGCCCCTGGAGAACAGGGGCCCCAAGCACGTGCTTGTAGTGCTTATACGTTAATCCGCCACTGTACATGGACCGGTTTGCCCGTAGCTGCCGAGGCTTGCCTGGAAATGGTGAGATGTAAGTGCAAGAAGTAGTGCAGAAGCTGGTGCTGTCTGAAAAAAACAACTAAAAAGGTCACAGCCGTAACCTTTGTGCTAAAAATATCTCCCGTACTATGATTGTGAAACCTCATTTTCCTCACACTTACCTTTCCGTTAAATCACTGGTACAATAGTATGTACAAATAAAAGTGTTAATTAAAATAATAATAATCATTAAGACGTTTAGACAAATTAAAGTTCCTTATTTAGTGCTTTCTTCTTATGATATTTTCAATATTAAAATGTATTTAAATTATTTTCAACCTTATGTCTCACACATAGAGTTCAAAATCAATTGACGAAAAAATACAATTCATGGTAGATTGATGTGCCAGCAACTCTAAATAAATTCTAATATAATAATTCTTGCTTGCTTATGAACCAAATAGTATGAATTCATGGATAAAAAAATATTTTTTCCGATGCGCAATAAAATTCGCCCGCTGTGTCCTGAAGAAAAAATTTTTTTCACCTACTTTTTGCGAAAAAAGTACCATACAATGTTATATTTTTATAATCCTGATAAGCGGCGGCGGCGGCTTACTTCTTGCCGGCGGACGCCTTCTTGGCCGCGGGCTTGGATTTCGGTGTTGCGGCGGCCTTCTTCGGTTTGGGCGCCTTGGGTTTCTTGGTTGGCGGTTTGGCGGTCTTCTTGGCCTTCGGCGCAGCGGCGGCCTTACCCTTGGCGGCGGCGGCGGGTTTCTTGGCGGCGGGCTTCTTCTTCGCGGCGGCCGCCTTCTTGTCCTTGGTGGCGGCGGAGGGCTTCGCCTTCGAGGGCGACGATGCGGCGCTCGAGGCGGCGCCCTTCTTCGCCTTGCCGGCGGACGACGCGGCCGTCACCTTCTTGGACTTGGCCGACGCTGCGGCGGCGCCCCTGGCGGGCTTGACCGCCGCCCGCTTCTTGGGTGCCGCAGATTTGGATTCCAATTTGAACGAACCGGAAGCGCCCTTGCCCTTGGTCTGGATCAAAGCGCCGGACTCGACGGCGCTCTTCAGGTACTTCCTGATGAAAGGTGCCAATTTTTCAGCGTCCACTTTGTACTGAGCCGCGATGTACTTCTTGATGGCCTGCAGCGAGGAACCGCTGCGCTCCTTCAACTCTTTGATGGCGTTGTTCACCATCTCGGACGTCTTCGGGTGGGTGGGCTTCGCTTTCGGCTTCTTGGCTCCTCCGGTCGCCGTCGCCTTGGGTTTCTTCGCGGGCGTCGCCGGAGCCGGTGCCTCGGATGCCACTGCTGTGTCTGCCATTTTTCTTTTTGTTATTTTGACTGTTTACGTGAACGAATCAAAACAATTAATTTCAGACGATATGCTGCTGCTGGAACGCGACGAGCGAGCGAAACAACGAACGTACGTACTGCGACTGCGCGCGCGCGGAACGAGAGAAAAGAGGATGGATAGAGCGGTGTGTTAGAGCGGGAGAGCTTACGGTGCGAAACGACGCGTCATGGCAATACCGTAAGGAGAGCCTCTCTGTAGCTAGGCACAGCTAGACATCTTCGCACGACACAATTCCCTCGCATATCTCTGGGAAACGCAGCATCCTCTCCCTCCCCCAAGGATCTCCACAATGTGCCCGCATCCAGGTTCTTCCCGCGACCTTCACCAGATCGTCGGTCCACCTAGTGGGAGGTCTGCCCACATGCTGATAACATGTTCCATCGTAATAAACTTCTTTCCGACATAATTTAATAAAGAAAACACCTAAAATGACCTAAAACCACAATTTTATTTTGCTTTTCACACGTCAATAAGCCAGTGAGTTACGTTACTGTGACAGCTAAGGTATTTTTCGATGACATCTTTGAAAATTGCAACTCATGGTAAGTTATTTGTATGAAACTTAATAAAAACTTTAGTCGCTATCGTATTCATTTAGATAGGTTTTTTACCTAACGATTTGAGATGAACTCATGGTAGTGTTTTTAGTTTTGCTGTGGTTCAGCTACTAACCGCTAGAGGCGCTGTACAATTTGCCATACATTTTTTTACGCCCTCGATAGCGAGATGCTCGGTAGGTAAACTCATGGTAGAGGCACTGCATTGAGTTTGCTTGCTTGATTCAACAGTCAGTAATGCGGGTAACGGTTATAGATAAATGTAGGCTTAGGGTTAATTGCACCACCTAACTGTGACCGTAACTTTAACGATAACCGGTCAGGTGTTTGTATGGAGTTTGACAGATATTTGACATTTGTCAAAGTTAAAGTAAGATGGTGCAACCCAGCCTTAGTCTTCGCTCAAACTGCGATCAGGCTGACTAATATGGAAAGTTAGGCTCTAATAATTTGAACTTTTTTTTATGCACAAGGCAGGTATTTGACCACAATCGCACCTGGTGTTAAGTGGGATGCAGTCTAGAATGGTACATATCTGCCCTGTAAGTGCCTATTCACTCTTGCCTTGAAAAGGCCCGGAACTTAAACCTATCTTTGTTATAAGAATGAAATTATGTTGATAGCAACGAATAGACTCATTCAATTTTTATTTATCGCGCATGTGTAAAAGTTATTGCCAATTTCCTGTCCAAATAAGGAAACTAGGAGCAATGTTCTTTTACGGAATAACCTACTGACACGTCATCATTTCTTGTAAATTAATACCTACCTGAATTTTAAATGTCGGCCGTTTGGTGTAGTGGTTCGAAACGGACTACTATTCCGGAGGTAGCGGGTTCGATTCCCGCACAGTACAAACATTTGTGTGCATGAACATATTTGTTTGTATTGGACTGGGTGTTTTCTATGTATAATAAGTACCTATGTATTTAAAAAAAAAGTATTTAAGTATGTTTATATCCGTTGTTTAGTACCCATAGTACAAGCTTTGCTTAGTTTGGGACTAGAAGCGCAGTGTAAAATGTCCAAGGATATTTATATTTATTTATTTATATTTAATTACTTTTATAATAAATGCGATGCGAATATCTATCATGCAGGCAGCAACACGCCAGTGTGTTTTGACCAGCGATTCCCAAACCACCGTCCACAGGCCTCTGGGGTTCAGCAAACATATCCCAGGAGGTTCGATAATCCAGGAGAATATACGATACTTAATCGATTTCATGAGTCCAACGGAGAACATACGAACCTAAACGATATTTGGCGTTTGCGTGCAAAAATCACAAATTATTATAATAGGAGGTATGATGATAATGAACGAGTTATCCGTGCAAAAAAAGACAAATCTCTTAGAAATATAGATAGATGATCCGTTTGCTCTGTTGCCTCCTGTCACATAAAAAAAGAAAAAAGATGCAACAAGCTAATAATGGCTGGTAATGTCTAAAATAGTATTTCCTCCACATTACGCAGTTAACGTACGGAAATAAGTAGTATAATTTCAGCTTTGATATAGAATCTCCCCACTTAATGATGATTCTCATTAACAAAGTTTCAGAACCGCTGCCTTAAACAAACCTCGTGGACATGTCCTGACAGCGGAGATAGCTGTGAATAATGTGTTTACGTGTAGGAATGGGGAATCCCGCTGATTTATTAGGATCTGAAGGCCCAAATATTTGCCGTATATCATAAACAAGATAGAGTTGCAGTGCCTTGATGGGACACCACTTGATATATGACGGAAGGAGGACGGATTATAGGGACAAGATGAGGGTTGGGTGATATTTTTGAGCCTTTTTGTGGCAACAATACGAATTTCATGCAGATTTTATTGTCAAACTGAGAAGTACATAAATAGATAGAGTTAAGGGGTAATTATCCTACACCGTAAACCATATCTTATTTACGTAGCACTAGCTGATACGGGGAACTTCGTACGCCTATGTTCATTAAATTATTGTAGGACTGTAATGGTGAAAGAATTTTCCAAATCGGTCCAGTAGTTTCGAAGCCTATTCCATTCAAACAAACAAATCTTTCCTCTTCATAATAGTGTAGATATGAAACGACTTCTTGGAATTTTATAGAAAATTCTAATTTTAAATACCTCTCTAATAGGTATATAGTACAAGCCTCGTTCACACAACACAATCGTAAGCCTTGTCATGATAATATACACGTCACGTTAACCTACTTATTTGACGAAGGTTTCAACTAACACTAACTAGATTAATGCCACCATTTTCCAGTTGTACTATAAAGCAACTAAACGTTAGTTGTCTCGACAATACAACTGAAAACATTAACTGACCTACTTCTGATTGATAACGAACTACTAAAACACTAACAATACTCCAACTCTGTTATTGTTTGCAAAGCTAAGATATACTAAAGTTGCCTTTACTGCTAAAGTCCCTGCAATATGGAATGGAATATTGCAGTTCCAAGAAAACAACAGCATATGAAACACCGATGAGAAACGCAAGGGTAAAATAGAAAATATTTTACGAGAAATCCCAGTAGGTGGGTCAAAGGTTCCCAAATATTAGTGTTCCGAAAGATGTTGGAAATATAAAGTTTATTTACGAGTAGATATCTAATGCAGGTACATTTTGCGTTTGACGTACTACTACTAGCGACAATACATATAAATCTTCCTCCTAAATCAGTCTTTATTTTGATGAAAACCGCATTAGAATCCATTAGCTACGTAGGTAGTTTAAAAGATCTAAGCGCGCCACTTTGTTTAATGCTATGTAAATGACCAAAACGTAATGACCATTTCTTTACGTAAAAAGCAATTGGCTATCAAGAAAAGCTTCTTCTACACGGCAGACATGAGTGCAGCTTCTACACAACTTGATAGCCATCAATTTCTTTATATTCAATACTCAATCGTTTATTGCATAACAATCACATTAGCACATTCAATTAGGTCTTACAATTTAAGCAGTTATACAATGTGAACCCAGTTAGGGCACAGCAACTTTAGGAAGGAGGCAGAACGACGATCTTAAATATCAGTTTCAAAATAAATTAATGTACAGATTGAGTTTGGTGGAAATTCATCATGAACCTGTCAAAGCGCAGAAGGAGAGTTGAAAATCACTATAAAACCCATCGATAATACAGGGTGTCCCAGAATGGGTGAATCAAACTACTAATGTACTACCCCTAAAAAATATGAAAAAAAATAAAGCGCATAAGGAAACAAAATACTTTTTTTTTAAAGTGAAAATAAATCAGCTTTGCCTAAGTATCTGGCTATAATTGCTGCGTTTGGAGTTTATTTCAACTTTTTTCTTACTAATATTAATTGTACGTGATCGCTTCGTTTATCTGTAAACAAACTTTTGAAAATAATGACTAGATTTCGAGTTTAGAGAACTTTATATAAAAAAAAATCCGATCTCAATTTTTTTTCCACATTTTTTAGGGATAGTACATTAGTAGAGCTACCTCCACTAGCAGTTTGATTCACCCATTCTGGGACACCCTGTATACAGGAACTGGCAGTAAACACCATAATCAACGACAAGTTTCACTGACTGATTTATACAACCTAACAAGGGGCTTGCGTGACTTGCTAGAGTCACATGACCACAGCTAAAATACAAAAGCTACTTATCAATATGATACAGAATTTTAACTGATATCGTAAATGATAATGAACGTCAAAAATCTGAACTTATTCAATACTAGCTGTCCGCCCGCAGCTTCGCCCGCGTGGAATTTTGTCTGTCACAGAAAAACTTTATAGCGCGCGTCCCTGTTTTAAAAACCGGGATAAAAACTATCCTATGTCCTTTCCCGGGACTCAAACTATCTCTATGCCAAATTTCACCAAAATCGGTTCAGTGGTTTAGGCGTGAAAGAGAGACAGACAGACAGACAGAGTTACTTTCGCATTTATAATATTAGTATAGATAGTATAGATTGGCAATATGGCCAATGCACCTCTTTCCAGTGTCAGTTAAGTACAAGTTAAGTATTCAGTGTTATATTTAAGAAATTAGTGCTAGTTTTCACCATCAATCCCTAATTTTTTATAAGTGACCCCTATGCTATGGTAACACATAACAGGAATTTTATTTTCATAGGGATCACTTAAAAATTTGGGGTTGATTTTGAAAACGAACATAGATCTCTCGTATTTCACACCTAAGTTTAGTCACAAACGAAATTCAATATTCTGGTTTCCCTTTTATTTTATTGAAGTAGTAGCTTACGTTCACATCTCTGCCCTACATTCCCCATTTCACCCCATTGATTTATGTTTGAACAAAGGGTATATTGAAACCGAGATACAAAACTGTTTCAGTCTCACAACGTTACAGATAGATTTACTTACCTTTCAAATTCACCAAAGGCAAAAAGTAGGATTTGAAGAACTTTACGTTTTCTGGGCTTTAATTTTGACCTAAAGTATAGACTTACGCCCGTATACACAAACATTACTATGAGGTCTCACAGTGCGCGTGGGTGACACACGAACCAATCACAGAGCTCTATTCAACGCTGTGCGTTCGATTTGCTCCTTCACTTAAGATAGCATCGTTTATGAATACGGGCGTTACTAAGCAAAAGTGGCTTTTCTTATTTCCCTAAAAGAACAGTTAGCAGCGCCATTCCT